AAGATAACTGTAGATGATTCATATGTAGAGACTTATTTTTTTGTCTTTGTTTTTTGTCAGGGTGACTGTGCGTCTTTTTTGTGACATCACAGACATGTCATGTAATGATGACCAGTCAGTTGAGTGGGCATGGATGAGTCAGCCCTCTCCTAAAGGCTTTGATCAGATGACTGGACAGACCTGAATACAGGTCCCAAACCACTGCATTCAGTGGCTTTTCAGCTCCCAGAAGACCTGACTCACTGAGACCAAGCTGAACAAACATAAATACCACTAGGCAACCTCATTCACCGTGAGACCAGCGTATGGGTCAAGACCAGCAAATCTGATGGACCTTTGGTAATAACTGCACCATGAAATTCAGCTGGGCTTAGTTGAGTTCTGACTCTGTGGGAGAGGATATGCCACCACTGCTGCGATTCTTGTGTAGATGAGATGAATTTGTTCCCTGCATTCTCTGAAATGGCATCTCTCTCTCTCTCTCTCTCACGCTCGACAGAATACTCCCGTGTTCATGCACAGGCTGCCATATAAAACTGCATTTAAGGCGTTTGCTTTGAGATTATTATATAATGAGTGAATTGAGCCTGAATTTGAGAAGCTAAATTTGTTTTGCCTATTATGAAACTCTAATATTCAGATCTCAGCTGACAGTGAGTTCAGATTTGAATCTTAAGTCTGATTCATTTGAGCACTTTGGTTAATTCAGACTCGTTGAGGTCACACATGTTCGTAGAAGATACTTTTACATTTTCTTTGATTTTGGAGCTAATAAAAATCTAAATTTAATATGTGATGTGTTTTTTTTAGCATTTAATGTATATTTACAGTGTGTGTTAAACTTTAATGCAATCATGGCATTTGCATTTTGAGTTTGTTAAAGTAAAACACCCCCAATTTCTAAACATAATTTTTAAATAAATAAATAACATTTCCAGTTTGTTGTCTGAGCAAACAGATTTGATGTTATCACTTGCAAAATACCGTAACACGTGTGTACCGTAAACCCAAATAATTTAAAGTCCCCATGAAATCAAAATTTAAGTTTTTTGGGTGTTAGTATCAATATGTTAGTCTTAAGGTTATCTATAAGGCAGTGTGCTCCAAAACAGTGACAAAATTCACATTTAGAAGATATAAGCATTCAAAGCTTGCTGTTCGTCACTTCCGCCAAAACGGCTGGCATACCCTGTCAAATGCGGCTTTACGGAGCTCAACGGCTGTGAACGGCTCTAGCCCAAGCTGTGAGATAAACGAACGCTATTTTAAAAAGGGGCGGGGCTGCTTGATATGTCCCGCCTGTCTTCCTGTTTCAGTTAAAATGACGTCAATACATAGAGTAACGCTGCGTGTTTCTAAGCATTTCAGGGGACCTTTAATAAAATCAAGAGCCATATCATGTCAAGCCCGGGGTCGTCACATGTGGTTGCCGCAAGCCCGCCGGCCGCTCCTTCGTCGAATCCGCCGGCCACGCTGTTCTCAAGCACGCTGACCGTTCCTCACTCAAGCCCACCGGCCTCCGCTCACTCAAGCCCGCCGTGTGTGATGCTGTGTGTTTGTTGTCTCATCGTGCTGGGACACTGCATCACAGTATGGTAAGGGGCGTAACATTTCCGCACTGGATAGCTGGCCAATTAGCATAACACCTCGTTTTTCAGAACGATGAGCTTTGTAAAAATCGATGCGTTTCAGAAAGGTGGGGCATATTGCATATTGTAATGCAATAACACATTGCATTACACCAAATACACAACATAATGTTCTTTTTAGCAACATCATATGACCCCTTTAAAAAACAAATCAGATTTGTTACATTTATAAATAAAGTCAGAAACAACATTATCATTATCTTAACTGCTAGAGGACAGAAAGGGCAAAGCATGTAACTAACTGCTTGCCTCTCTGTGAAACAGTTTTAATGGCCACACCCCACTATTCACTCACACAAATGTCCCTGGCAGCTCCATTCAGTTGTTATGCAAGTATGTATTTATTTCTTACCCATGTAAGAAAACGGCTCAGAAAACACTGTGGCTGTCGAGGAGTAACTACGTGTGTGTGTATTGTCGCAGGCGAGCTGCAGCCTGTTCAAAAATTTACTGCATCTTTGAAGCGTGTCAAGATCTGGCCTGTCCGCAGAGGGGTTGACGGTCTGGGACTGTAATAAATATGGCAGAGCATTACATGCAACATGAAATAGAGAGACTGGGACCTTACCCTGTTATTTCTCACCCTGTGAAATAATTCAATATAATCTTCCAACTCTCTTATTGAGAGTTGTTTTTGTGGGCAGTAGAAAGGAAGAGTCCCAAAAAAAAAAAAGAAATCACTGTGTTCCACAATTCAGTGTGCTCGACCTGACCATGTCTGATGGTACACTGACTTACAGACCTAGAATTTGAACGGGCTACGAAATTCCGCGAAAAGAGTGGATTGCTTTACGGCAGCAACAAATGCATATAATTGCGATAGTGATTTACAACAGTGAACTCACTTAACTGTAGGAGGCGCCAAATCGCAAAGAATACACAAAGCTAGGGGTGGGCGATATACCCTCAAATTTATATCACGATATTTAAAGAATATTAGCGACAACGATATTTACGGCGAAATAGAAAAAAAAACATGGAACAACGTTTTATTGGTGATTGCAGCTGGCAGGCAGCAGCATTTATTAGTGCAAACAAAATGAAGGGCATTTTCCATCCTTTTCCAATGAGCTACTGTTATCGATGACAGACTACCTAATTTAAAGTGTAAATCTATTGTCATAAAGTGGCAGCAGCAGCTGTGTGTTCGACTTGAAGCAGACCGATCGGTGTATGACGTCAAAATACCGCGAGAGTGACTTACTATTTACACTGCATGTGTCTGCGGCGCGTTATGGCTCCAACGCAGCCACTCTAGTCAATGCTTGTGTTTACACCAGCGGAGCCGCGGCACGTTTCAGACGCCGCTTCGCTAAAGATATGCGCCTTGCCTATTTTTGAAGGTAAGTGTGTGCGCTCGAATATGCTCTTGAACCGCTCTCGCGATACTTTGATGTCATACACCGATCAGTCTGCGCAGCGCTGCTTCAAGTCGAACACACCTATTGGGTTTGTGGTGTTGTTGTTGCGTGCGCTAGGGAACGTATATCCGCCATACGTCATTGCGCCGCTACATCATTGATATCGCAATATGACACTTTTTTTATCATGTGCAAATTTATACCGGTATTATTGCAGATGGTATGATATGGCACACCCCTACACAAAGCTACATGCAGTTGCTTTAAGTAAGCAATTTTTCATATCGTTCTCGTTCAGCAGGGGCGGACATAATGAGGTAAGTGGCCACTTAGGGCCAGAGGAACCAGGGGGTCCCATCTGATATTGGCGAAACATATTTGCGGCGTTAATCAATGTAGCCAATCACAGACATATCTGTTGATTTCTTGAACGCAATGTGTTTAAGTTAGAATCCACTCTAACTTGTTTTTGACAAGTGCTGAGTTCTGCAAGCTCAGGAATCCTCTCATTATGACAAAGTGTAGATACGATGTAAATAAGAGATTCATTGTGCAGTGTAGAGAGCTTATTAACAGAACGTCATGAGATCGCAATGAACTGAAGTGAGTGACAGCTTTTAGTGATTACTTGTAGGTACTTGTAGGTTTTAGTGCACGAATGTGATGACTGGAGATTTTAACTTAATAATAGATTACATTTTCAATTTGTTTCTCGGCAAACCCTACCGTAAGCTTTCAGAACATCTGAAATATGGAATGAGTTGCATGGGATAATTTTATATCTGTAAGTTTACAGTTTATTAAATGGACAAGTGCAAGTTTTTTTTTTTTTTTGATAGGCGTCTTCTTTTGTGACCCGAATTTATTTTTTTAAGAATAAGGTAGCTTATTATGGCTTTAGAACAGCATCAGGTTGACTAATTACTGGTTGTGAAGGGATAAATAAACTATAAACTATGAGAGCGAGTGAGCAAGCAAAATAAGGGTTAGGCGTAAAAGAGCACTGTTATTGTGTTGGGGCCCCATACCTGGAATTTGCTTAAGGCCCCCAAATCACTAAGTCCGCCCCTGTTGATCCGATAGTTATAATATTTACAAGCTGGACATGACTGTACAATGTTAAAAGTCTTTATTTGATACGCATCAGAAAAGATGAATATTTAAGCTACTGAGGTCACATGTTTTTGACTGTTTCTGAATGACGTTGAGATAAATGAATCCCAAAACGCATCAAATCATCTTTACACCTGTTTTAGTGTCATTCTGTTTCAAATGGATGTTAATATCAGGTGTAAGCGGAGCTGGGGTGCGCACTTCTTAGTTTAAAAAATTGTCCAATATATTTCACAGTACTGGTATTCCATTCCAACATAACAGTTTTTATGTCATGTTGGAATCCTATAAGAAAATTTTCTTTAGGATTGTTTAGGATTGGTTCCAAACTGTGATTCCAAACTGAATCCTATAATGTTCTTACTGCATCCCCTTAGGACTAGACACAAATCCAGCATAAAGACATGTCAAAGTCAAACCCACTAAATTCCATAAGGAATCTCAGAGATCCTTATCCTGTCATCCAGGAGAGCCTGTGGGGAAATGGAATCCCGTCTTCATTGGCCAGCGGGCTGATTTGATGTAACATCCTGTGTAGGATCGCGGCGGCAGCGGCAGACGAACCCGATGCCCTGCAGATGGTGCCTTCGCTCGCTCGTTCGCTCGCGCGCCCGCCCCGTTCCGCCTCGCACTCGACCGAACGCGAGCGCACAGACGCGTCTCCGAAGTGTGCGCTCCCGTGAGCTCGTCATTCCTCCCTCTCCGCTCCGTCATCTCTCACCGTTTTAATTCAGGCTGTTGCCACTGAATAAGACACTGCGCTTGGGAGCGAACCGGTGCGCTTTTGGAAACGGGAGGCTTCGCTGTGGGCGCGTTTATCCGCTGCTCTTCGCCCTTGGATTTGATTCGCACATCAAGCTTCTTTCTTCTGTCCAGAATGGGTTTTGTCGTGCTGGTGCTTCTGTGCGCTCTCACCGGGCTGGTGTTCGGGGACAGTAAACCCAAGACATGCTCGGACATCAGGCACTTCTACAACAGCAAGGGGTTCAATCTGAACGGAGTCCCGCAAACAGTAATATCCGGTAGGTGAACCATTCAAACCTTAATTTCAGCGTGAATGACAGTTGCGATGAAGACACTGGATAGTCTACAAAGACTAACTTTAATGCAAGTAGTTACTGTGCGATTCAAATGCATTACCATCTTATGTTATCAGCAGGCAAGACAAATTTCATACACAACACAATGATATAGTATTTCAAAGTGTAGTAATACAGATACATATTTCAATATTTAATGCATAATCATAATTGAGCCCATTAACAGAAGTAAAGTTTAGAAAATAATTCCTACTGGTTGTCAAGTGATATGATAACTATAGGTTATTGGTAAGTTATATATACAGTGTGTGTGTGTGTGTGTGAGTGTGTTATATATATATATATATAATGTCACATACATATATATATAATGTCACACATGTTTTAGAAGGCTTTGACTGATAAATATAATCAACTGATAACATAAAGGAATAATAATAATAATAACTATTATTAAATATAATAATAAATAATAAATAATATAACTATAAAGGAATCTTGCCTAAAAATCTGGCATGTTTATACCTTTTCTTCTCTCTGAAAAGCCTCTTATGCATAAGACCTGTTCGTTCATCTCACTGTCTGTCACAGACCCCTGTACTGCACATATGTGACACTTCCACAGGTCTTTGGACTTCATAATAATTTTCCATGACCCAGGATTCCATAACAGTTTTCCAGACTGTTTCTTCTGCTGTCAGCTGGTTTGAATGTGTGGCATAGTTACAGAGATTTACTGGTGATTATGAGCTTTCTGCAGTCTCTGATGGTGTGTGTGTGTGTGTGTGTGTCAGGGTGGAGTGTCATTCACAGTTGCTCCATGAAGGTAGAGTTTTCACTTTTGATTTTTGAGTTGAAGAGCTGAAACCTCAGTGGGTGTGCTGTGTAGTAGAGCTGTAGTGATTTCACACGCACAGAAGACCTTGATTTCTCTTTGTTTCATTGAATTTTTCTATCACCCTAGATTGCTCTACTGTGCTGCAGCCGGAATGTATTTTTACCCATCATCCTTTTGCGTATGACGCACGAGCTGATCCCGGTCAGTATTCCCTAATGATCAGAAAGTGTCCTCCATTTAGAAGATTAACAGAGGTGAAAATCAGACGTTAGCGACTGTACATTAATGTGATGGAGTTATTATCCTCATAAACATGTACAACACGTCCAGACGCATTCAATCAGAGTGATGCATCATTGCGATCAGGCATGTTAACACCGCTGTGTTTAGACAGCACGCTCTAACGTGTCTAAGTGATGACGATCAAGCCCCTATCCCTAACTTCTCATCCATATGGATAATGAGATTTAATTAAAAGTAATTGTTTTAGAGTCAAGAGTTTCCCCTAGGAAATGTTCTGCAATTACACTGCAGAGATCTTTCTTGGGTTCTCCACTCAAGAGCTGACATACTTGTCCTCCCATGCGTAAAACTGCGGGAATCTGATTTTGGTTTTTGTGAATATTAAAGTTGCATGACTGTTGTCAGCTGTCTGGACGGGAATTCTGGACACAAACTCGGATCTTCTTTAGCGGTTTCTGTGACATTAATGGATCCACCCATTTTTCTGACTCTTCTCGCTCTTTTTCCACTCTTTTCTCTCCTGCTGCTAGTCGATGATCAGCATTAACCTTAGATGGATGAATTTCATTGGAGATGTGGCTTTAATTTTTGATGGGAAAAGTCTTAAAAGCTTCGTTTGAATTTCTAAGGCTTGATTTGAACATTCAGCAGGATTGTATATCATCTTTCGCTCTGACTCATCTGAGATTAACTTGACACCAACCCTGTGAGGGAAATGTTTTGGCCTTTGGTTGTGTTTGTGAGTGTGTGTGTTTATGTTTATCGTGTTTTATCTAGTAGAACATTGCAAAGCTCATCTAAAAGCAGCTGTCTTCTATCAGGCCCCATGCGTTCTGTTTTACTCATAACTGAGTAATCATATTCCCCTGGTGATTCGGAGAGGGGATCCCACCTCGGTGAACTGTGGCACACCCTGCTAATGGCCCGAACAAGCTGAGCAACCCACACCAGAGCCTGAGGTTACAACAATACACAACGATAATCTCTTCTTGACCTTATTTCAAGAATGATTCAGTGACAGATCAGGTCAAGATGGCTCCTGTCAGTACTTATCAGGCTCATATCAAGAATCATTTTAGGAAAGCAAGCCAAGTTCATCTCACCTTTGTCCCAGTGTACTTTCTTATTTTCCTTTTTCTCACTCTTCTTGTGTAGTAGAAATTACACCCAATTTAAAGACTGTCATCTTGTAGAATCTTTCAAACTGTTTCGATGCAACAAAAAACAGTTAAGAAGCATTATTGTCCAGTATGCTCCAATCATATATCACATTAATTGTACTTATCAGATCAGATTAGAGGCCAGTCACTATAGGTATAACAAATTGTCAATCCTTAATATATGGGTTATGTTATTATTATTATTATTATTTTTTTTTAAAGCAACCGGGGTTAGAGATGTGGCATTGTAGTCAGTGCAAGTAGCATATTGAGTCATGGTGCTCATGTGGCATACCTGGGTTTGAGTCCAGCCATGCAAAATGGTTTCAATTAATTATTTATTATAAATTAGTAATATTAATCATGAAAATATATTTATATGTACATTTTATGTATAAATATAAACGACATAATTTTATAAATATTTTTCAATGTAGCTAGCCCTGTATCATCATTATTATTATTATTATTATTATTATTATTATTATTTATTCATTGATTGATTGATTTTTTAAAATAATTGTATAATTTATGATTTTGTATGAAAACAAAAAATATTTATTTATTTATTTATTTACCAACTCAATAATAAAATTAGAATAAAACACGACTGCAACCTGTAGCATCTGAAACTAAATTGAACCTGATAACGACGTGTAGCGCCCCCTAGCTGTAACTGTAGAGTATGCAGTGGTCATAAAGCAGCTGTCATTAGTCATGTTTTAAGTCATGGACACAGGCCAGCATGAAAGCACTAATGAGGTCTCTGAGCCGTGGCGTCCCATTGGATAACGGCTGCTGGTGCATCTGCTGGAGGCAAATAACGGTCGCTCGAAGTGAAATGGAACTTCTTTGTGCATTAATATTTCAATATTTAAGTTGAGCACATTTGCTATAGGGCATAGTTCCGATTTTTGTTTTATTATTCATTCTGTGCACTTGTGTGTGTGTGTGCATTCAGAATGCTTTGCATTTTGTATTGATTTGTTGTAAGTGTGTATTGATTTTGCATGCATTGATTTTAAATGTTTGTTGGGGTCACACAACATGCTTTCACAATAGATTTGTGCGTTTATCTTCCAATCCATAGCAGGATGCATTGAGGATGGGGTATTCCTATGCACACACACATAGACACAGAGTGAAGTGTTTATAGTGCTGATGCAGTAGATGTTGAAGGCATTAAGCTGTAATCTGCCCTCTGGAGCCTGAAACTCGCCACATAGTGTTTGATGTCATGCAGAGCTGGGGAACTGCTCGGCACACTGCAGCAGTGAAGGGAAAAAAAGATACAGGGAAGGAGGAAGAGAAAACTGATATTGAGATTCTCATTCCAATCTGTTGCTTCTTCTGTCACTTTAAACAAGAAAAACAGATGGTTGGACTTTAGAAGTACTGGTGTTTTAATAAAATATCTATTGATGTGTTGTTTCCTCCTTGATGCTGAAAAGATTCTTACAGCTTATAAGCATATGTTGTGCTTTGGATGGTGATGTGCTGAATAAATCACCCCAAAATTGAAAATTGACATAATTTACTCAACTCATGTTGTTTCAAGCTTGCATGACTTACTTTCGGTTGCTTTTTTCAATGCAATTACAATTAAAGAAATAGTTGAATGTACTCACTATTTGAACGATGATTTTGAACAAAACTGAACTTTTTGGAATAAACTATACTTTTAACTAACTTAACCAGCAAGACATGTTTAGACTGCTAAGGTTTGCTTGGGATCATCTATCTCTAACCAGACTGAACCAGCTTGAACTTGTGTGGACCAACTACACTGGTCTTTTCAGCAGGGCTGATCACTTATCAGAGATTTGCCTTGAGTGTAATTGTCCTGTTTTTGGTGGATCCTGATTTTTTGGGTAATTGGTAAAACATAAAACTGTGTGTCTATACAAGACATTGGCCTCTCTCCCAGGATGTGATCCGCAGCTGAATATGATACTTATGAAATCAGATAACGCCAGCACAGAGCTGTGATGTAAATCTGCAATCCGGAGCGAGACCTATTGAATTATCTAGCCACTAAATATGACAAATAACTGACTCAGATTGTAATACATGCAGTGTAATGTAGTTCTCAGCCTTCCTGTGAGTGAAGGACTCACGGCCCTCCCAGAGGAGAGCGAAAGGAGATGTGATGGACCAAGGTGACCTTTAGACGAAGACATTTTTGATGGATTTGCTATTGTGTGACATCCTTTGAAGGAAGAGAGAGCGAGACAGACAGAGAGAGACGGAGGTCACATTACCCCATAGCTGCTACCTGTGTATATACATGCCATAACCTGATATATCCAAGGTCCAAAATTAGCTTTTTTACCATAACTGTTAAAGCCAAGTGAATTTAGAGCATTTTTTTTTGTTGACTTTAACATGTTTCTTTTATTTTAGACACATGTGCTGTGTAGCACTTGAATGTTTTGACAGTTTGTTTCATCCCAGTGAAGTTAAATTTACCATGACTCTGAGAAAAAGAGTTACGCTGTGTTTTCTGGAAAACAGTTTAATCTTTATAATCCTAAACACATTTCCAACTAGCCATGATGATTCATTGTAAGGTATTGCAAGTATACACATACTGGTTCAGACCAGGGCTTTGGCTGCTTAGCTTAGCTAGATTGGTAGATTCTGTAACTTCACCTACACTTGGCTTGTTTAATACGAAGGTACAATTTCTGTTCCTAAAGCCAACATATTGAGCATTGCACATTTTCCCTTTCAGTTTTCAG